AATTTTTAAAAAAAAAAAACCCCCCAAAAATTTTTGGGAAAAAACCCCCTTTTTTTAAAATTCCCTTTTTTTAAAAAACCCCCCCCAAAATTTTTTTTGGGGTTTTTTTTTTCCCCCCCCCTTTTTTTTTAAAAGGGGAAACCCCTTTTTCCCTTTTAACCCCCCAAAACCCCAAAACCCCCAAAAAAGGGGGTTTTTTTTTTTCCCTTTTTTTTTTCCCTTTTCCCCTTTTTTTTGGTTTTTTTTTTTGGCCCCCCCCCCCGGGCCCCCCCCCTTTCCTTGTTTTTTGGGGGCCCCGGCCCTTTTGGGGGTTTTTTTTTGGGTTTTTCCCCCCCCTTTTTTTTTTCCCCCCCCCCCTTTTTTTTTTTTCTCACTTTTCCCCTTTTCCCGGGTTTTTCTCTCCCTTTTTTTTCCCTTTTTTTCCCTTTTTTTCTTTCCCCCTTTTTTTTCCCCCCCCCCCCCCCGGGGGTTTTTCTCCCCCCCTTCCCCCCGGCCTTTGGGGGGCCCCCCTTCTTTTCCCCCCCCGGGTTTTCCCCCCCGGGGGGGGGGCCCCCCCCCCCGGGGGGGGCCCCCCCGGGGGGCCCCTTTTTTTTTTCCCCTTCTTTTTCCCCCCCCTCCCCCTCTTTCCCCTTTTTTTCCCCCCCCCCCTTTTTTTTTCCCCCCCCCCCCCGCTTGTTTTTCTCTCCCCCTTTCTCTCTCTCTACTGCCGGCCCCCCCCCCCCCCGGGGGGGTTTTTCCCCCCCTTTCTTTCCCCCTCTTTGGGGTCTTGGTTTTTTTTTTTCCCCCCTTTTTTTTTTTTCCCCCGGGGCCGCCCCCCTCCCCGGGGGTTTTTTTCCCCCCCCTTTTTTTTTTCCCCCCCCCCCCCCCCGGGGGGCCCTTTTCCCCTTTTTTCCCCCCCCCCCCCCTGGTTTTTTTCCCCCCCCCCTTTGGGGTTTTTTTTGCCCCTTTTTTTAAAAACCCCCTTTTTTTTTTTTTGTTTTTTTCCCCCCCTTTTTTTTCCCCCTTTGGGGGTTTTTTCCCCCCCCCCCCTCCCCTCTCCAAATTTTTTTTTTCCCGGGGTTTTTCCCCCCCGGGGGGAAAATTTTTTCCCCCCTCTTTTTTCCCCCCTCTTCCCCCCTTTTTTTCTTCCCCTTTTTTTTCCCCCCCCCTTTTGGGGTTTTCCCCCCCCCTTTTTTTTCTCCTTTTGGGGGGTTTTTTCCCCCCCCTTTTTTTTTCCCCCCCCCCCCCTGGGTTTTCCTCCCCCCAAAAGGCTCTCCTCCCCCCTTTTCCCCCTCTCCCCAAGGGGGGGGCCCCCCCCCCCCCGGGGGGGGTTTTTTTCCTTTCCCCCCCCCCTTTTTCCCCCCCCCTCCAAACCCCCCCCCCCAGGGGTTTTTTCCCCGGGGGGGGGCCCCCCCCCCCCCCCCCCCCTCTCTTTTCCCCTTTTCTTTCCCCCCCCCCGGGGGGGCCCCCCCCCCCTCTCTTCCCACCCCTTTTTTTTCCCCCCCCCTTTTCCCTTTTCTCTCCCCTTTCCCTTCTCCTCTTTCGGCCCCCCCCCTCCCCCTTTTTCTCTCCCCGGGGGTTTTCTCTCTTTTTTTTTCTGCCCCCCCTGCTTTCCCCCTCCCTTCCCCCTTTTTTTCCCCCCTTTTCCCCCCTTTTTTTCCCCCCCTTCTCTTTCCCCCCCCTTTTTTTTTTTTTTTCCTTTCCCCCCCTTTTTTTTTTGGGTCTTCTTTTTTTTTGTCCCCTCTCTCTCCCCCCTTTCCCCCCCCTTTTTTTTTTTTTTTTTCCCCTTCACCCCTTTTCCCCCTTTTCCCCCCCCTTCCCCTTTTCCCCCCTTTTCCCCCGTCCCCCTTTTTTTCTCCTTTTTCCCCCCCCCCCCCTTTCCCCCCCTTTCTTTTTCCCCCCCCTCTTTTTTCCCCCTTTTTCCCCCCCCTTCTTTTCCCCCCCTTTTTTCCCTCCCCCTCTTTGTTTTTTTTTTTTTTTAAACCCCTCTTCTCTCCTTTTTTTCCCCCCCCTTTCTTTTTCCCCCAATTTTTTTTCCCCCCTCCCTTTTTTTTTTTTCCCCCCCCCCCTCTTTTTTTTTTTTTCCCCCCCCCCTTTTCCCCCCCCCGGGGGGTTTTTTTCCCCCAAATTCCCCTTTTTTTCCCCCTTTCCCCCCTCTTTCTCTTTCCCCCCTTTTTTTTCCCCCCCCCCCCTTGTTTTTTTTTTTTTTCCCCCCCCTTTTTTTTTTCTCTCTCTTTCCCCTTTTCTTTCCCCCTTTTTTTCCCCCCCCCCCTGCTCTTTTTTCCCCCCCCCCTTTTCCCCCCGGCCCCCCTTTGGGCCCCCCCTTTTTTTTTTTTTTTTTCCCCCCCCCTCTTTTTTTTTTTTTCCCCCCCCCTTTTTTTTTCCCCCCCCCCTTTTTTCTCTCTACTGCTTTGTCCCCTTCCCCCCCCCTCTCTAATGCTTTTCTTTCCCTTTTTTTTTTGGGGGGTGCCCTTTTTTTTTCCCCCCCCCCCCCCCTTTTTTTTTTTTCTTTTCCCCCCCCCTTTCTTTTCCCCCCCGGGGCCCCCCCCCCGTTTTTTTTTCCCCCCCCCTCCTTTTTTTCTTCCCTCCCCTTTTTTTTTTAAATTTTTCCCCCCCCCCTTTTTTCTCCTTTTCCCCCTTTTTTTTTTCCCCCCCCTTTTAACCCCCTTTGGCCCCCCTCTTTCCCCTACTGCTTTCTTTTTTCCCCCCCCCTTTTTTTTCTCTCTTTCCCCCCTTTTTTTCCCCCCCCCCCCTTTTTTCCCCCCTTTTTCTTTCTCCCCCTTTTTTTTCCCCCCCCCCCCCCTTTTTTTTTCCCCCCCCCCCTTTTTTTCCCCCCCCTTTTTCCCCCTCTCCAAACCCCCCTTTTTTCTTCTTTTTTCCCCCCCCCCCTCTTTCTTTTTTTTTTGGGGGTTTTTTTTTTGGTTTTTTTTCCTTTTTTGTTTTCCCCCCCCGGTTTTTTTCCCCCCCCTTTTTTTTTCCCCCTTTTTTTTTTCCCCCCCCCCCCCCTTTTTTTCCCCCTTTTTTTTTTCCCCCCTTTCCTTTCCCCTTCTTTGTTCCCCCCACCCAAAAACCCCCCCCCCTTTTTTTTTTTTCCCCGGGGGCCCCCCCCCCCCCCTTTTTTCCCTTCCCTTTTTTTCCCCCCCCCCCAAAAAAACCCCCCCCCACCCCCCCTCTCTCCAAAAACCCCCCCCCTCCCCTCCCCCAAAACCCCCCCCCCCCCCCCCCCCCCCCCCCCCCCCAAAAACCCCCCCCCCCCTTTTTTTCCCCCCCTTTTTCCCTTTCCCCCCCCCCCTTTTCCCCCCCCCCCCCCTTTTTTTTTTTTTTGGGGGTTTCCCCCCTTCCGGGGGGGGGGGTTTTTTTTTTTCCCCCTTTTTTTTTCCCCCCAAACGCTCTCTCTCTCTCTACTGCTCTGTCTCTCTCTCTACTGCTCTGTCTCTCTCTCTACTGCTCTGTCTCTCTATCTTACTGCTCTGTCTACTCTCCTCTCTCTCTCACTGCTACTGTCTCTTCTTCTCTTAACGGCTCTGTCTCTCTCTCTTACTGCTCTGGCTCTCTCTCTCTCTATACTGCTCTTCTCTCTCTCCTGCATGCTCTCGCTCTCTCTCTCTCTCTCTCTTCTCTACTATCTCTCTCTACTTGTACTCCATCTTCCTCTACTGCTCCATCTCTCTTTACCCCTCTCTCTTGCTCTCGCTTCCCTCTTCTCTCTCACCCTCGCCCTCTCTGTCTCTCTCACCCTCGCCCTCTCTGTCTCCTCACCCTCGCGCTCTCTCTCTCTCCCTCTCTGTGCCATTGGTGATGTGGTTGTGTTATAGTTCAGTGTTCCCAGTATCCATATTGTCAGATGACGTTTAGTACATTGGCTGGTTTTCTGCCCCTTTTCAGTTTGCCCTCTTGGTGTCCAAGCCCCCGAAACCTGAACCCTGAACCTCCCCCTTTGTTTGACCGTCTGCAATTTGTAGTGAACCAATGACCAGTCATATTCCTCTTCTATGGTGTTGCTTTGTCACCATAGAGAGAAAGAAACACATTGCTGCTGGCCTAATATGGGTCAGAATGCAGCAGGAGAAATACCACACCTTATCAGCTACTACCACTTCACTAGGTTTACACACACACTCTCTCACACACACACACACACTCTCTCACACCACACACACACACTCTCTCACACACACACACACACTCACACACACACACACACGCTCTCTCACACACACACACTCTCGCTTTCTCACACACACACGCTCTCTCACACACACACACGCTCTCTCACACACACACCGCTCTCTCACACACACACCTCTCTCCACACCACACACCTCTCTCACACACACACCTCTCACACACACCACACACACACCTCACACCCCCACACACACACACACACAACTCACACACACACACCTCCATACACACACTCCCACACACTATCTCACACACACACTATATCTCACACACACACACACCACACACGCTCATCTTCTCACTCACTCTGTGTATAGACTTTCCACTCTCACATACCACATTCAGAAGCACACACAGTTAGCATTTTGTTTCTCACACACTTTCACTGTTGGGACACACACACACACAACCTAGTCAGGCATTGTTGGCTTGATGATGAAGAAGATGAATCTCTGATCTCTGTAGCAACTCCCAGCCAGCACTAGTGGTTCCTCATGGCAACCCGGGCACATCAATCTCTGCTGAATGCCACCGCTGGACTGGAGTAAAAGTGGACTGGGATGGGACGCAAGTGCATTAACCAATCACCTTTTACCAGTAGGAAGGAATACTTTTGGAAACCAAATGAACTCGAGTGGTTCACTCCAAAGTGCAGATTTTTTTATTTCCTTTTATTTCTGGATGTTTCTCTTCATTTTGATCATTTCATCAGGGTTGGTTGTGAGGGCGTTTGTTATCTCAACTCATTTTCTTCTGCTAGTTTGAACTGTTTTCCTTCCCTTTTCTCTTTTTTTGTTCATTCGTTCTTTCGTTCCTGCATTGTTGTGGTTCCCATGGCGACAGAGCTGATCAGTAAGCTGAACTTCCTGGAGGAGGATCAGGACACGCCGCCTGCCCTCTGCTCCAATCCCTTCGAAGAGCCAGATGATGATGTTGATGACCCCTCCCACCCGGAACACACCAATCTCTTCAACCCGTTCGGTGACCCGGATGATGATGATGGTAGGCATGACCTTTGACCTCTATCTACCTGTTCTGTCTCTCTCTCTTTACCTCTACCTCTGTCTCGCTCCGTCTCTTTCTCTTTTTTAAAAATAATTTTACCCCCCCTTTTCTCCCCAATATTGTGATATCCAATTACGATCCAATTACGATCTTGTCTCATTGCTACAACTCCCCAACGGGCTCGTGAGAGGCGAAGGTCAAGTCATACGTCCTCCGAAAACATGACCCGCCAAACCGCGCTTCTTAACACCCGCTTAACCCGGAAGCCAGCCGCACCAATGTGTCGGAGGAAACACCGTCCAACTGACGACCGAAGTCAGCCTGCAGGCGCCCGGCCCGCCACAAGGAGTCGCTAGAGCGCGATGAGCCAAGTAAAGGCCCCCCCAGCCAAACCCTCCCCTAACCCGGACGATGCTGGGCCAATTGTACGCCGCCCTATAGGACTCCTGGTCACGGCCGGTTGTGACACAGCTTGGGATCCAACCTGTGTCAGTAGTGACGCCTCAAGCACTGTGATGCAGTGCCTTAGACCGCTGCGTCACTCGGGAGGCCCAGTCTCTCTCTCTTTACTGTATGTCTACCTCTCTATAAGGGGTTAGGGGTTAGCAGATTTACACTACATGCTCGTCGAAAATTTCATTCCAAAATCATGGGCATTAATATGGAGTTGGTCCCCCCTTTGCTGCTACAACAGCCTCCACTCTTCTGGGAAGGCTTTCCACTAGATGTTGGAACATTTCTGCGGGGACTTGCTTCCATTCAGCCACCCAGATTCGTCCATCCATCGGACTGCTAGATGTTAAAGCGTGATTTATCACTCCAGAGAACGCTTTTCCACTGCTCCAGAGTCCAATGGCGGCGAGCTTTTACACCACTCTAGCCAACGCTTGGCATTGCGCAATGGTGATCTTAGGCTTGTGTGCGGCTGCTCGGCCATGGAAACCCATTTCATGAAGCTCCCGAAGAACAGGCAGTTTGGAACTCGGTAGTGAGTGTTGCAACCAAGGACAAACTATTTTTACGTCTTCTGCACTCGGCAGGTCCATTCTGTGAGCTTGTGTGGCCTACCACTTCGCGGCTGAGCCGTTGTTGCTCCTAGATGTTTCCACTTCACAATAACAGCACTTACAGCTCTAGCAGGGCAGAAATTTGACGAAATGACTTGTTGGAAAGGTCGCATCCTATGACGGTGCCACGTTGAAAGTCACTGAGCTCTTCAGTAAGGCCATTCTACTGCCAATGTTTGTCTATGGAGATTGCATGGCTGTGTGCTCGATTTTATACACCTGTCAGCAACGGGTGTGGCTGAACTAGCCGTAACCACTAATTTGAAGGGGTGTCCACATACTTTTGGCCATGTAGTGTATATTATTATGGGGACAAAGTCATAGACTGATTGTTTATCCTCTATGAGGCTTTATATTGTGGTTTCTATCCAAGTTTAATGACATAGTTGTTGAAAGATGTCTTTATTGTTCTGAGGTTGTTTTTATAAAGTGCTTCATGCCAAACTAAATGTTACCCTTTTGTTTGTTGTTGAGCTGTCAAGAAATCTCACGTAGCATTGTGAATCATTTGTGTGTGTGTGTGTTTATGTATTCTGTCACTAAAGCAGAATACTGTCAGACAGACAGACAGACAGCTAAGACAATATTGACCCATCTCTCTCTCTCTCTCCTCTCTCTCTCTCTCTCTCTGTCTGACCACCATAGTAGACAGACATGACACTCCTCTCTCTTTCTCTCTGTCAGTGCGTCTTTCTCTCTCTCTCTCTCTGTGTGTGTGCGTGCCTGTGTATGTCTCTAACCCTCTCTCTCTCTCCCCCCCAGACACAGGGCCCCCCTCCCTCACCCTCCGACAGGACCAAGAGGCCTATTGTGACCAAGAACCCTCCAACCCCTTCGACGAGGACGAAAACAACACACACTCACACACAGAGTCCAACCCGTTTGACCAGCCCGACCAGGACCCAGACCCCCAGGGGCCCCAGGTCCAGCAGCCGGAGGCTCCCAAACCCAGGGGGAGGAAGGGGGTCAGGCCGGTGGATATGAGCAAGTACCTGTATGCTGATACTAACGCACCACCAGAGGACCAACTGGATGAGTAAGTTACAGGGGGGATGTGTGGGGTGGGTCGGTGTGTGTGTGTGGGGGGGGGGGGGGGGGGGTTAAAGAGTGTGGGGGTTAAAGAGAGAGAGTGTGCGTGTGGAGATTCTTCAAATAGCCACCCTTTGCCTTGATGACAGCTTTGCCTACTCTTGGCATTCTCTCAACCAGCTTCATGAGGTAGTCACCTGGAATGCATTTAAATTAACAGGTGTGCCTTCTTAAAAGTTGTGGAATTTCTTTCCTTCTTAATGCGTTTGAGCCAATCAGTTGTGTTGTGACAAGGTAGGGGGGGTATACAGAAGATAGCCCTATTTGGTAAAAGACCAAGTCCATATTATGTCAAGAACAGCTCAAATAAGCAAAGACAGATTACAGTCCATCATTACTTTAAGACATGAAGGTCAGTCAATACGTAACATTTCAAGAACTTTGAAAGTTTCTTCAAGTGCAGTCGCAAAAACCATCAAGCGCTATGATGAAACTGGCTCTCATGAGGACCGCCACAGGAAAGGAAGACCCAGAGTTACCTCTGCTGCAGATGATATGTTCATTAGAGTTACCAGCCTCAGAAATGGTAGCCTACTGCTGCATTGGCCTATAGGCTCTGAGTTCCATGTGCTCGTTTCTTTAGCCGCCAATGGATCACGGTGTATCAATGGCATTTATCCTACAATGGCAGAGGCTGGTGATCTTGACTTTTAATTGTAATTTTTTTTTGCATTTTAATTGAGAATTTTATAATGAACCACGTGACAGTGATTTTGAGAAACGAAAACGATATTATTGAAATAAAACTGTTACATGAAAATGCGCATATGAAAATCATAACTGGCACACAGAACGGTAGAAATGGTAGGATCAATTGTAAGCTTCCCCAAACTTGAAAATCACACGCCGCCAATTAAGTCTTTATAAAAGAATTGCCTCCATGTTTCCATGGTCATATTTAGCCTAAAGGCTATTTTGAAGCAAGGTAAGACATGCCTCATAATATGAAATAAAACTTTCAGGTTTCAAACAATTAAGTATTTTCAAAATGCCTCCAACTCACATTGTAAAGTGGTGGGGGATGTGCTGATAGCCTGTTGCCTGCACTTGAATGGTGAATGGGAGGCACGCTTCAATTACCAGTTGAGAAATAAAAATAGTAGCTCTTTTTAATCGTGCACCAAAACTGTTTTTAACACACGATTACATTTAGAATTGTTGCGCAATGAATGGGCTACTGAAAGCACATTTTACTCCAGCAGCAACCCTCAAAATAGTCTCTGTATGTTGTGTGTGTGTGATAGTTGTGTTGGATAAATAAGATACATGATGACTAACAAAAACACACACACAGGCCAATTTAATTCCACTCAATTATGCAAATTACCTATAGACCGATAAGCATGACGGTCAAATGTATTTCCATCGACTGGTATTTCCATCAATGAATAAAACTCTATGGGATTTTTTTTCTCCCGGTCATTTCGGCCAGCAACAGTTTTATTTATTGCCTTTAAAAAAAAATGTGCGGACAAAAGCCGTCAATTGCCAGCTAACGGAAACCCTGGTGTGTGTGTCTGTATATGTACGTGTGTGTGTGTGTGTGTGTCTGTATATGTACGTGTGTGTGCGTGCGTGCGTGCGTGCGTGCGTGCGTGCGTGCGTGCGTGCGTGTGTAGCCTTGTGAGAGTTACACAAGCCCCCCCCAACCCTGAGACACAGTGACTAGGGAGCTCTTTCAGAAACAAGGACTCTGTTGTTCCCTGCATTCTTTCTGCTTGTCTCCCCCCTCTATCACCCTCTCCTTCCCCACTCTATCACCCTCTCCTTCCCTCTCTCCTTCTCCCTCTTCCACCCCCTCTATCCCCCCTGCATCCTTCCCCCCCCCTCTAAACCCTCTCCTCTCCTTCCCTCTCTCCTTCTCCCTCTCCACCCCCTCTATCCCCCTCTCCTCCCCCCCTCTAGTCCCCCTCCTCCTTCCCACCGCTCTCCTTCCCCCCCCTCTATCCCCTCTCCTTCCCGCCCTCTATCGCCCCCCCTCTATCACCCCCCTACTATCCCCCCTCTATCCCCCCTCTACCCTCTCCTCCCTTCCCCCCCTCTATCCCTCTCCTCTCCCCCCCTCTACCCCCTCTCCCGCTCCCCCCTCTCTCCCCCCCTCTACCCCCTCTACCCCCTCTCCTCTCCCCCCTCTATCCCCCTCCTCTCCTCTCCCCCCTCTACCCCCTCTCCTCTCCCCCCTCTATCCCCCTCTCCTCTCCCCCTCTATCCCCCTCACCCCCCCTCTATCCCCCTCTCCCCCTCTATCCCCCTCTCCTCCCCCCTCTATTCCCTCTCCTCTCCCCCCCTCCCCCCTCCCTCTCCCCCCTCTATCCCCTCTCCTCTCCCCCCCTCCCCCTCCTTCCCCTCTATCCCCCTCTCCCCCCCCCTCTATCCCCCTCTATTCCCCCTCTATCCCCTCTCCTTCCCCCCTCTATCCCCCCTCCTCTCCCCCCCTATCCTCCCCCCCATTTTTCCCCCCATTTCCCCCCTATTTTTTTCCCCCCCCCCCTCCCCCCCTCCCCCCCATTTTTTCCCCTCAAATTTTCCCCCTTCCCCCCCTCCCACCCCCCCCCCCTACCCCCCCCCCTTTTCCCCCCAACCCCGACCCCCCCCTCTTTCCCCCCCCCCCCATCCCCCTCTCCTCCCCAAAAATTGGAAAGTAAGGCGATAAAACCCCATTTTTTTTAATTGGGGTTTTGGGTTTTGGGGATATTTGCTCTGGTGCCCTTTTAACTTTGTCAAACCCCAGAATAATAAAAAAAATACGGAAAACCCCCCATAAATTCCTCCCCCAACCCCCCACAACCTTCCTCCTCCCAAAAAAACCCCCCAAAGGGGGGGCCCCCAAACCCCCCCACAAAAATTTTTTTCCCCCCCAAAAAAACCCAAAAACCCCCCCCAACCCCACCAAAACCCCCCCAAAACCCCCCACAACACCCCCCCCCCCAAACCCCCCAACCCCAATCCACCCCCCAAAACCCCCACAACAAATCCCCCCCCCAACCCCAAACACAACAACCCCGCCCAAAACCCCCACTAAAAAACCTCCCCAAACCCCTCAAAAAAATTTTCCCCTCTCAACCCCCTCACTAACATTCCCCCCCAAACCCCCTCCTTTGTTCCCCCTCCCAACCCCCCACAAGGCACTCCTAGGGTTAAATTTATCCCCATTTTTTTTTTTTTGTTTTCCCCGGGAACGTTCAAATTTCCCCCCTTTTTCCCTAATAGTCAATATGTTATAAGACACTATATAGGAAATGGTGCCATTTTGGGGCTCGGGGGCTCAGCCCTAACCCCGGGGGAGCAGAGGGGAGAGCTCAGTGTTTTTTAAATGGGCTGCGGTATAACCCCGTTGGGAAAAAGTTTTTTCATGTCACACCAAGAGTGTAACCCTTTAAAATTTCCCCCGCCCAAGTGGGGGAGTGATGAAACTGAAGGCAAAGGGCCTTTTGGAAAGCTTGGAAGTTGTGCCCGCAAAAACCAACCTAAAAAAATTTTTAAATTACCTAAACAAGCTACATGGCAATCTCGTCAGGTAGCTAAACATAGTTACCCTGCTGGCGGCACTTTTTATTTGTTTATTTTTTTCGAAAAAAATTTTTGAAATTTCCCAAAAAAAAATGTTTTTGTTAGGGGAGCATGTTTTTAGGCTCGTCACTATGAGTCTGAGACACTTTGAGCGTCATATTCCCATTTGCCACATCTAAAATGAATGTTGTTCCCATACCAAATTTTTAGTAGCTACATGGGAAGCGTAGAATTTTTTTCCCCCTGCCGGAAGACAGTCATTTTTGATTTAAAAAGGGCCTTGGCGGCCCCACCAGTTTGACACGTGAAATACATTTTCATTGAATTGGGGGGGGTCATAACAAAACCCCCCCAATGATCAAAATGTTCATTTTTCTCCTCGGGGCTAAATCCAGGGGCCAGGGGGGGAACTTTGGTTGGGAAATTTTTAACCCGCCACTTGATGGCCAAACAAACTGCATCCGGTTTCCACGGGGTCCCCCCGGGGGAAAATGGCTAGGGCCCCAGGGGGTGAGGGGGGGAAAAAATTTCAAAATTTGGGCGCAGCCTGGGTCTTTTCACTTGTCTTTTAGCCAAGGCAGGTGGGCAGATGAATGCCCCCAGCTCATGGCTCTGTTTGCTTTTCTTTCCTCTCCCCCTTTTTTTCCTCCTTTCTCTTTGGGGGGGGTTAGAAAAGACCTGAACCCTTTTTTTTTCATTCAGCCTGATACCTAGCCAAACCCCCCCTTCCCCCAGTTCTCTGGCTGTGTGTGTGTGTGAGTGTTGAATGAGTGACGTGGAGCGGTGTAACCCGTTTTCCAAAAAAAACCCCCGGGGACTGTGTATTGATTTAAAATCCTTTTGTGTGTTGGGGGTCAATGGCCAGCGGGGAGTCGGGGGTTAGGTCCCCTCAGACTGACCTCAGGCCCTGGGGGTCCCCGTGTTTTCCCAAACCTCCGTTTTAACCCCAAGTGTGGTTTTTGTTTCCCTTTTTAGTTTTGCTAGTGGTGGTGGTTCTGAGGTTCCCACTAGTTGTGGTTCTGAGGTACACACTGTGTGGGGGGTTCTGAGGTATACTATAGCTGTGTGGTGGTTCTGAGGTACTACTAGCTGTGTGGTTTTGAAGGGGGACTACTAGCTGTTTTGGGGGGGTTTTGAGGGGACTACTACTGTTGGGTTTGAGGTCTACTAGCTGTTTTGGTGGTTCTGAGGGTTTTTTGCGTGGGGGGGTTCTGAGGACTACTACGGGGTGGTTGGGTTTTGGGGGACACTAGCTGTGTGGTTCTTTAGGTAAACTGCTGTGTGGGGGTTTTGGGGGGACCCAAATAGCTTTGTGGTTTGAGGTACTAATAGCTGTGTGGGTTTTGAGGGGGCTACTAGCTGTGTGGTGGGGTTTTTGAGGGGACTTTAAACTTTTGGGGGGTTTTTGAGGTTTCTACTAGCTGGGTGGTGGTTCTGGTTTTTACTAGCTGGGGGGGGGGGTGGTTCCCGAGGGACTACTAATGTGTGGTTTTGAGGTCTACTGTGGGGGGTTCTGAATCTAAATAGCTGGGGTGGTTCTGAGGGGGGGACTATAGGGGTGTGTGGTTTTTGAGGTTTTACCGCTGGGGTGGTTTTGAGGTACAACTACTTTGGGGGGTTTGAGGTACTACTAAACGTGTGGTTTGGTTTTGAGGTACTACTAGCTGGTGGGGGTTTTTGATTACTACTAGCTGTGTGGTTTTTGAAAGGGGCCCAATAACTGTGTGGTTCTGAGGGAAATTCTAGCTTTTGGGGGGTGGGTTTTGAGGGGCCTTTCTAGCTTTTTGTGGGTTTTTGAGGTACTACTAGCTGTGTGGGGGGGTTTTTTAGGTACACTAGATTTGGGGGTTCTGAGGGGGAAACTAGCTTTGTGGGGGGTTTTTGAGGTTAAATACTAGCTGTGTTGGGGGTTCTGAGGGACTAAGGGTTGTGGTGGTTTTTGGGGAAATAATAATGTGTGGTGGTTTCCCGAGGTACTCTGCTGGGTGGTTCTGAGGGACTACTAGGGTGGGTGGTTGGAAAGGGAAATAAATACTGTGGGGGTTGGGGTTTTGGGGGTACTTACTAGCTGTGTGGGGGGTTCTGGGACTAAATAGCTTTTGGGGGGGGTTTTGAGGGACTACTAGCTGGGTGGTGGTTCCCGAGGGAATTTTCTAGCTGTTTTGGTGGTTTGGGATTACTAGCTGTGTGGTGGTTCTGAGGTGCTACTAGCTGTGTGGTGGTTCTGAGGTGCTACTAGCTGGTGGGTTCTGAGGTACTACTAGCTGTGTGGTGGTTCTGAGGTACTACTGTGTGGGTTCTGAGGTCCCCCTAAAATGTGTGGGGGGTTTGAGGGGCTACTACTGTGTGGTTCTGGGGTTACTACTAGCTGTTTTGGTTCTGAGGTACTTTCTGCTGGTGGTTCTGGGACTAAATACTGTGTGGTGGGTTTTTGAGGTACTAATAGCTGTGTTTTGGGGTTCCGGGGGGTACTAATTTGTGTGTGTTTTTGAGGTACTACTAGCTGTGGGGGTGGGGCTGAGGGACACTAGCCGGGGGTTCTGGGTTTTAATACTTTGGGGGGGGGTTTTTTTGGTTTTTGAGGTACTACTGCTGTGTGGTGGTTCGAGTACGGTAGCTGTGTGGTTGAGGTAAATACTACTGTGTGGTTTGAAAGGGGCTTAGTGTGTGGTGGTTCTGAGGTGCTTTCTAGCTGTGGTGGTTTGGGGTTTTGAGGGGGAATTTTAAACTGTGGGGGTGGGGTTTTGAGGTAACCCACTAGCGTGTGGTTTTTTCTGGGGGTACAATAAGGTTTTGTGGTTTCCCGGGGTACTTTCTAGCTGTGGGGGTGGTTCTGAAAGGGCAATTTGCGGTGTGGGGTTTTGGGGGGACGAAGCTGTGTGGTTCTGAGGTTACTATTTGCTTGTGGTTCGAAAGTACTACTAACTGTGGGGGGTTCTGAGGTTACTATACTGTTTTGGGGTTTTGAGGTTTCCCACTAGCTGGTGGTTCTGAGGTTTCTAATAGCTGTGTTTTTTGAGGTACAATAGCTGGTGGGTTTTGGGTTTCTACTACGGGGGGGTTTGGGTTTCTCTAGCCTGTGTGGTTCTGAGGTAATACTAGCGGGGTGGTTCGGGGGTAATACACTGGTGGTTTTGAGGGGAATACTAGCTGTGTGGTGGTTCTCATTACTACTTTTGCTGGGTGGGGTTTTTGAGGGAAATACTAGCGTTTGGTTCTGAGGTTCCCACTAGCTGTGTGGTGGTTTTGGGGGGTACTACTAGCTGTGTGGGGTTCGGGGGTACACTACTGTGTGGTTTTGAGGGACACTAGCTGTGTGGGTTTTGAAGGGACTACTAACCCGTGTGGTTCTGAGGGCAATAGCCCGTGTGGTTTTTGAGTACCTTGGTTTAGCTAGGGTTTGGGGTTGAATGGGTTCCTAGTAAAGTACAGGGCTTTAAGGGGGATGTAAAATAATGGCCCGTAAAATTTCCAAAAAGGGGTTTCAAAACCTTTTTAAAAGCCATGTCTCTCTCTCCCCCCCCCCGATTTTTTTCCCCCCCCTTTTTTCCCCTCCTCCCCCTTCCCTTTTCCCCTCTCTTGGGCCCCTTTCCCCACCCCTCTCTCCCCTCCCTCACTCCTTGTCCCCCTCTCTCCTTCAGATCCAACCCGTTCTACGAGCCCCGCACCTCCAGCCCATCCCGGCCCTCCGGGGGCCCCTCTCCAGACTTCAGTAGCCAGAAGAGGAGAGCCCCGCTGCCTCCCAGACCTCCAGGCCCCAGCCCCTCGGCCCCCCAAAACCTCCGGGAGGGGGCCCGAAGGGGGAAAATCCACCCAGGGGACCAGGCCTGGGGAAACCGTGGTGGGGCGAGAGCTGCCTTTTTCCTCCCCAAAGGTTTAAAAAATTTAAGAGGGTAATGTGACCCCCCCCCCCCCTCATCTGAATATAGGTATTAGTTTATTGGGCTGTTTGTTTTTTTTTAAATCTTCATTTTTGGTAAGGGGGGGTTAATTAAAAAAGGCGGTGGTTTACAAAACACTTAAAGGGGCCAGCCCCGTGGCCAGGAAAATTTATTGGGGGAGGGGGGGGGGGGTTTTTTATTTTTAAAAGAGGTGCAGGGGGGGGAAAACATTTTGAGGGGGTTAAAAAAATCATAGACTGTTACGGGGGTAGGAACCCCTTGCCCCAAAAACCCCCCCCCCCCACCCCAAAGGGGCACAAAAAATACACCCCAACCCCCCCTCCGTGGGTGGCGGGGTGGTGTTTTAGTTGGGGAGGGGAGGGTTGGGGGTAAAGGGGCTAAACTGGCTGTTTTTGTTTTGGAGGGAGGGTTGGGTGTAGTTTTAATTTGCTGGCTGTTCTAGTTGGGGAGGGCCCGGGTTGGCTGTATTTTAGCCCAGCTGACCCGTTTAGTTGTGGAGGGCAGGGTTTGGGTTAGTTAGCTAGTGGCTGTTCTAGTTTGGAGGGCAGGGTTGGCTTTTTGTTTTAGTAGCCCGAGGGTTTTGTTTTTGGGGGGGGCCCGGGTTGGGCTGTTTTTTAGCTACGACCCGTTCTAGGGTTTTGGGAGGCAGGGTTTTTTTGTAGTTTTAGCTAGGCTGGTTCCCAGTTGTGGGGGGAAGGGTTTTGGGTGTAGGTACCCTTTTACTTTTTGTTTTTTGTGGAGGGTAGGGGTTGGGTGTAGTTTAGCTAGCTTGGGTGTTTTAGTTTTGGGGGCAGGGGTTTGGGTTAGTGTAGCTGGGTGGTTTTCTAGTTGTGGAGGGCAGGGTTTTGGGGGTAGTGTAGTAGCTGGCCCGTTCTAGTTGTGGAGGGCAGGGTTGGCTGTAGGGGTAAACAGCTGAATGTTTTAGTTTTGGAGGGTAGGGTTTGGGTGTTTGTGTAAAATAGCTGGGGTTTCAGTTGTGGAGGGGAGGGTTTTTGGGGTAGTGTAGCAGGGGATGTTTGTTGTGGAAAGGGGAGGGGTTTGGCTGTAGGTAAACTAAACTGACTGTTTTAGTTGTGGGGCAAAGGGTTTTTCTGTAGTGTAGCTAGCTTTGGTGTTCAGTTGTGGAGGGAAGGGGTTTGGTGTAGTGTAGCTTTGTGCTGTTTTTAGTTGTGGAGGGGCCCGGGTTTTTCTGTTTTGTCTGCTGGGCTGTTTTTGTTGGGAGGGCAGGGGGGGCTGTTTGGGTAGCTAGCTGGCTGTTTTTAGTTGTGGAGGGTTTGGGTTTGGGTGTAAATGTAGCTGCTGGTGTTCTAAATTGGGGGAGGCAGGGTTGGGGTGTTTGGTAGCAAACGGGCTGGTTTTTAGTTTTTGGAGGGTTTGGGGTTTTGGGTGTTTGTGGGAAACTAGTGACTGTTTTAGGTTTTGGGGGGGGTAGGGTTTTGGCCCGTATGTAGCTGTGGCTGTTCTATTGTGGGGGGCGGGTTGGCTTTTAGGTAGCTGGCTTTGGTTTCTAGTTGTGGGGGGCAGGGGGGTTTGGGGGTAGTGAGTGCTGGCTGTTCTAGTTGTGGAGGGGCCCGGGTTGGGTGTAGTGTACTAGTGGCTGTTTTGTTGTGGAGGGGGGAAAGGGGTTTGGTGTTTTTTGAGCTAGCTTTACTGTTTCTAGTTGTGGAAAGGGGGGGCGGGTTTGGGTGTGGTTTGCTGGGTGTCGTTTGGGAGGGGAGGGGTTTGGGTGTAGTGTAGCCCAGCTGGTGTTCTAGTTGTGGAGGGCAGGGGTTTGGGGTGTGTGCTGCCCGGCTTTTTCAGTTTTTGGAGGGCAGGGTTGGCTTTAGGTAGCTAGTGGCTGTTTTTAGTTGGGAGGGCAGGGTTGGCTGTAGTGGAAACAGCGGTGTTCTAGTTGTGGGGGGGCCCGGGTTTTGGGTGTTTTGTTTGTAGCTGGGCTGTTCTAGTTTTTTGGGGGGCAGGGGTTTGGGTAGTGTACTAGTGACTGTTCTAGTTTTTTGGGGGGCAGGGGTTTGGGTGTTTTTTGTAGGGTGCTGGGGGTTCTATTTTTGGAGGGCAGGGTTTGGGTGTATTTTAGCTACTGACGTTTTTTGTTGTGGGGGGGTAGGGGTTTGGGTGTAGTGTAGCTGCGACTGGTTTTAGTTGTGGAGGGCAGGGTTGGCTTTTAGTTTTAGCTAGCTGACTGTTGTTTGTTTTGGGGGGGAAGGGTTGGGGTTTTAAATGTAGCTAGCTGAATGTTCTAGTTGGGGGGGGAAAGGGTTTTGGGTTAGTGTAGCAGCTTTGGGTTTTTCTAGTTTTTGGGGCAGGGTTGGCTGTTAAAATGAGTAGCTGACTGTTCTAGTTGTGGGGGCAGGGTTGGTGTATTTTAGCTAGCTGACTGTTGTAGTTGTTTGGGGGGCAGGGTTGGCTGTATGTAGTGCGACTGTTCTAGTTTTGGAGGGGAGGGTTGGTGTAGTGTAGCTAGCTTTGGGTGTTCTAGTTGTGGGGGGCAGGGTTTGGCTTTTTAAATGTGCTAGCTGACTGTTTTTGTTGTGGGGGGGTAAAGGGGGGGCTTTAAGGGGGTAGCAGCTGGCTGTTCTGTTTTGGAGGCAGGGTTGGCTGTTGTGTAGGGTAGCTGGTTTTTCTAGTTGTTTAGGGGCCCGGGGTTTGGGGTTGGGAGGGGTAGCGGGTGGTGTTCATTGTGGAGGGCAGGGTTTGGCCCGTAGGTAGCCCAGCTGGTGGCTGTTTTTTAAATTGTGGGGGGCCCGGGTTGGCTGTTGTGTAGTGCCCTTTTTAACCCGTTTTTAGTTTTTGGAGGGGAGGGTTGGGGTGTAGTGTAGCTACGACTGGGTTTTAAGTTGTGGAGGGGGGGGGGGGTTTGGGTGGAGTTTTAGCTTTGCTGACTTTTTCTAGGTTTTGGAGGGTTTGGGTTGGCTGTAGGGGTGCTTTGCGGGTGTTCTAGTTGTGGAGGGCGGGGTTTTGGGTGGTTTTTGTAGCTAGCTGGGCTGTTCTAGTTGTTGGGGGGGCAGGGTTTGGGTTTGTGTGCTAGGAATTGGGAGTTTTGGAGGGTAGGGTTTTCGTAGGTCTAGCTGGCTGTTTTTTAGTTGTGGAAAGGGGGGGTTGGGTGGAGTGTAGCTAGCGGCTGGGTTTTAGGTTTTTGGAGGGGAGGGTTTTGGGGTTTTGTATAGCTGGCGTTTTGGTTTTTGGAGGGGGCAGGGTTTTGGGGGAGGTTTGCTAGTGATGTTTCCCTTTTTTGGGGGGCAAGGGTTGGCTTTTAAATGAACTAGGGGGTTTAGTTGGGGAGGGAGGGTTGGTGTAGTGTAAACTAGCTGATGTTTGTTTTTGGGGGGGGAGGGTTTTGGGTTTGTTTTGCTTGTGCCTGGTTTTTAGTTGTGGAGGGCAGGGTTGGGTGTTTTTGAGCTAGCTGACTGTTTTTAGTTTTTGGGGGGGTAGGGGTTTGGGTGTGTGTAGCTAGCGTGTTTTTAGTTTGGGGGGCCCGGGTTGGGCTGTTTGGTTTTTGGGAGTAGTGGGTGTTTCTAGTTTTTGGAGGGGAGGGTTTGGGTGTAGTGTAGCTAGCTGTTTGTTGTTGTGGAGGGGGGGGGTTGGGTGTAGTGTAGCTAGCTGGCTGTTCTGTTGTGGGGGGAGGGGGTTTGGGGTAGGTTTGCGGCGGGGTGTTCTGTTTTGGAGGGGCAGGGTTTGGCCTGTAGTGTAGCTAGCGGTGTTCTAGTTGGGGGAGGGCAAAGGGGTTTGGGGTAGGTAGGTACTGGGGTGTTCTAGTTTGGAGGCAAAGGGGTTTTTCCCGAGTGTAGCTAGGTATGTTCTAGTTGTGGAGGGCAGGGTTGGCTGTTTTGGGAGTAGTGCTGTTCATTTGGGAGGGGAGGGTGGCTGTGTGTAGGGTAGCTGGTGTTCTAGTTGTTTGGGGGGGGGGTTTGGGTTTAGGTAGCTAGCTTTGGGTGTTCTTTTTGTGGGGGGCAGGGTTGGCCCGTAGTGAGCTAGCTGGTTTTCTAGGGGGGAGGGCGGGTTGGCCTTTTGTTTTAGCTAGCTGGGTGTTCTAGGTTTTGGAGGGGAGGGTTGGCTTTTTTAGCTAGCTGACTGTTCTAAATTGGGGGAGGGCAGGGTTTTTGGGTTTTGTGTTTGCTTTGGGCTGGTTTTGGGTTTTTTTGGGGGGCAGGTTTGGGGGTTTTTGGGACTAGCGACTGTTTAGTTTGTGGGGGCAGGGTTGGCTGTAAAGGGGAGCTAGCTGAATGGTTTTAGTGGGGGAGGTTAAAATTTTGGGGGTAAATGTAGCTAGTGACTTTTAGTTTTGGGGGGGGCAAAGGGTTTGGGTTTGGGGTAGCTAGTGGGTGTTGTAGTTGTGGAGGGGGGGGTTGGCTTTTTGTGTAGCTAGCTGACGTTCTAGTTTTGGAGGGCCAAAAGGGTTTTGGGTGTATGTACAGTGGTTTTTTTGTTGGGAGGGGGTAGCTAGCCTGGCTGTTGCTAGTTTGTGGAGGGGCAGGGTTGGCTGTAGTGTAGCTAGCTGACTGTTCTAGTTGTGGAGGGCAGGGTTTGGCTGTAGGTTGTAGCTAGCTGGCTGTTCTAGTTGTGGAGGGCAGGGGTTGGCTGTAGTGTGTAGCTAGCTGGCTGTTCTAGTTGTGGAGGGCAGGGTTGGCTGTAGTGTAGCTAGCTGGCTGTTCTAGTTTGGAGGGCAGGGTTGGCTGTAGTGTAGCTATGCTGGGCTGTTCTAGTTGTGGAGGCAGATGGTTGGCTGTAGTGTAGCTAGCTGGCTGTTCTAGTTGTGGAGGGCAGGGTTGGCTGTAGTGTAGCTAGCTGACTGTTCTAGTTGTGGAGGGCAGGGTTGGCTGTAGTGTAGCTAGCTGGCTGTTCTAGTTGTGGAGGGCAGGGTTGGCTGTAGTGTAGCTAGCTGGCTGTTCTAGTTGTGGAGGGCAGGGTTGGCTGTAGTGTAGCTAGCTGGCTGTTCTAGTTGTGGAGGGCAGGGTTGGCTGTAGTGTAGCTAGCTGGCTGTTCTAATTGTGGAGGGCA